ATACAGATTTGATAAATATACAGACGAGCTGCATCTGTTACTTGAGAAGGTGCATTTCAAAATGTCAGTTGCGGATTGTAAGCATTTCCTTTTTGATACGTCTATTGCAGGTTGGCCAGATGAGCCCATGAAGCACCATATAGGTGTCAGGGACATTCGGACCCTGACTACTTCAATTACTTATGATTTAAAGTGGTAATGTTAAGCAAGTTGTCATAAAGGGGAAAACAGGTAAAGCAGCTGCAATATCACTACCTTTATCTGTACACGCTTGTTGGAATAGTTGGAAATAACCTACAACCCCATTGAAATAAGTTCACCAGCTGTTACAATACAACCACACTGATTTTCAGTGAGTAAGCAGTATTGTGTCGAGCCAATTAAGATGGCTATACTATCATCACAACACAAGTTTTTCTAAATGATATTTTGAACATAAAGGATGAAGCAGCTGCTTTAATTGTGGACTAGCAGTACACTGAAAAATGAACTATATGTATCCTGTAATAGCAACAGAGAGACAACAGCAGATTTCTTTTTTGACCAGTAGCATGAAGGTTAACAACTACAATGGCTGCTGCAACTATTATTAGGTTAAAATATCAGAACCAGTTAGATTTGACAATCAGCTTGGGAGGTGAAACAGACAAATTTCATTGAAAGGTATTGTGGTACATTCAGTTTATGTTGGACTGGTTGTAGCTTAGTACCTACCTGTGAAAATACTTCAGTGGATACAGAACTGTCAGAACTCTGTTCAAGTTTACAGAGTATCAGGTACTGTGAACAAAACTGTCAATCTAGCTGGTTAATGCTTATTTCAATCTGGATAAAGGAGATAGACTCAAAGCAAGCAGAGTCATATGACTTTATCTAAATACTGGTACTATAACGTGCAGAACAAAGTTGTTACCTGTGCTGTTTACTCAAGAAAGAACATCTTAGGGATAGGCCTGTTCCAGAAGTTATCTACCTTCACAGATGCAGAAATGCTGGCCAGACAAAATCCAGGAACAGCGGATTCTACAAGTGCGTATAGAGAAGAAAGTCACCATTCCTACTAATGCACAAAAGATGTTTCATGGAACACCGCACACTCAGTCTTATGTACTACCAATGCAAAATTTATTCCAGTGATAGTTTGTAATTATAGACAAGCTACTGTGAAAATACCAGCTAGAATTTTAAAAACTTAATAGTAAAAGTAAAAAAGAAAGCATGACAATATGCCAACCACAGTATCTCCCATATCCAGTGCCGACGAGGAATTTCGTCCAATACCAAGGCTCATCAGCATAGGTCATCAATTGAAACATTAGTGCACTAGTGCATTTATCTGGGTAAGTGATATTGCTGATTATTAGTTTCTGTCACATCAAAAGAGAAAACGATGAGTTGATGGCTCCCTTGGTGATAAATGGAATATGATAAAGTTTAAAAAATGAAATATTCATAAGTTCAGGGGTCTGGCTGATGTTTCTCGATATTATTTCTCCTCAAGTCACAGTGTAAATACTAGTTAGCATATGCTATTGTGTTATACAGCTTGAAGCATCTAAGTAAACTACATTATGTATTATATTGATTTTCTCCAAGTTAACCTATACTTGAAGTAGATGTAAGAAGTGTTTAAAGTTAGCTTTGAAAGTTGCCATGACTTCAGAATCAGAATAGAGAGTGACAGATGACTGTGGATTTCAACATGTTCTATGAACCATCATAGTGATATTTTGTCTGCTATTCTCGCTTAATATCTTACAGGCTGGTTCTTTGCTAAGACAACCAGCCAATGAGATATTGTTGAAGTGCATATAATCTGCAGGGAAAATAGTGGTTATCATACTTAGGCAGTGACCCAACAGGAAACTTACTGAGTATGTCAATGTCAGCCTTCATACAGTTTGGTTTGCAGAAAAGGACAGTACAACACTCTTGCAGGATAGAGAGAGTGTACCAAAAGTTAAAAGTCCAATTACACTTTATTTCTCTCATGATATTTCCCGTTTTCGAAATTTTCCAATAAAGGTTCAGATGAAATTCATAAAGTTTATAGCATTCAACCCTATGTTGACGTTCTAAGCGACCAATACTAATATTTCACTTCTTTACAGAATATATTGTCAAGTTCTGATCGTCACTTTTAACAATCTACATGTAACCTGCCTGATTTCCTGCTATCTTACCATAGAAGGATTATTTCACTTATCTGATATTGAGTAAGAATTAGAAGAACCAACCCAACTGCTAAATATGATTATGCTGATGGACTTTGTAGTAGCAGCAGGCCAGCTTCCATTTTCAATGGAAGAGTATGCAGCAGAGCTAGTTCAAACCAAAAACCAAAGCACTGATGCTAATTCCACTAGCAGAAATGCCAATGGCATCTATAAGACAAGAGACTCCAGCACCCAATCTAACAACAAAAGTACAAGAGCAAGCAGATATGAACTAAGGCTTTTTCCAAACAAAAAACAAAAACAGTAGAAGAAGGCTGAGCATCCTGTTATGGGATATAAAGGGCATTGAATCTATTCTAATCCATAACATTGAAGCTCCAGATAAACTATTTATGGATATATTGTAAATAATATAATCGTCCATCTATAGAAAATTTTCTAATTACTGATATTTTATTTCACCAAATTGCCAATTGCGATTTTGTTTCTTATTTTTGCTTCTTTTCAGTATAATTGACACTGAGGATATTACTTTAATGAGGTGACATTAGTTTTAGTTACCTGCAACATTGAGTTTATTTAACTAGAGATGCAGTATGGTTTAGTTTCAACTTGTTTTGCTTCTGAAGTTTTGTTTTGGCTACACGTATAATCTTTTAAAAACTTTTACTGATCAAAATGAGTTTTCAGACTACTTTAAAGCCTTCTAATGTGCTGTTTTATGTAGGATTTTTATACATAACAATGACAACAGTTGGTGGGTTCAGTGTATTTTGACATTGTTAATGCTTTCCATGTTATTCACACATTCTGTTTGTAAAATGATAAGTTTGAAATGTACCAGATTTCGTTATATTTACGATTAAACAACGTACCAGAAATGTATGCTTTTGCTTCACTGTTTTCTTTCATTTTACAATGTATGAATTTTTAAAGTTTACGATATGTTATAAATTTTAATTTGCATCATAAGATTCCTGACCAACCCTTTTATTTTATAGTTATGAGTTTTTTTTTGTTTTTTTTTGCCTTTTGCATAATTAATTCGTGATTTTGGATTATGTGTTGTTTGCTTTTGATATTTATTACTTGGGAGCTAATGTAGAGTAAACAGCTTAGAGATTCGAATGTGTCTCTAAGTAAAGGGTGAACTCTCCGGTTTACCTTAGTGTTTGTTCAACAAAGTCGTATGGTTCTTGTCTAGTCACTCATGTAGCCAGACAGGTAGCTGATCTAGAGAAAGTGAGAATACTAACCGTGTGGTTTGGTCTACTACGATTACATGTAATAGTCAGATTCAGTATTAATTGTGCTGTCTATCAGCTATATTGTTATTGTTGTAGTAACTTATCTATTGCATTAATTATATCTCAGGACATCACAACACTAGAGAAAATGTTCAACACTATCCACGTTTCTTGTCTCACCAATCTCTAAGTATCCATTTTCGGATTTATTTAGTTTTCCTATTTATTTTTTATACAAATCATATTTGATTTGTAAAATATTATTCTTTATAATCTTTATTCGAATGGGATAAAAGTCATGAAATTAAGAAAGTTATTATAGATCATGTTCTCATTGACAGCTTGGATTTTTTTTTGAATGAATTTCTGGAAAAATCCTCAATTTTTAATATTAAAATGTTTAAAACATGCACTAACGAAAGCTCTTTAATAAGGAAGCTATGCAGTTTTAACAAGAAGACGTTTCGGTAACGAAAGCCTATTAAGTGTAGCTCACCGATCATGATACTATAATTTTAATACTGATATTTTTTTCACTGTCCTCCTAATTTATATGTTAATAAAATATCACAACTAAGTAAGTAGCATACACTTTAATTTTCTACAATGATATACTTAGGTTTGAAACTCACTATAGAACCTTCGCTGCATCTAATAATTGTGGCTGCCCTCAAGAAAGGGTGATTCCACCTTCCCACAAATAATCTATTACGTCATGCTCCGGGGCATAGTTATACGCCTGGAATGACGTAAATTCATATACAGTACGCCAAGGGGGCGTGCAGTAGATTTTCCGAGGTATTCGGGTAAGAATAATCGCCAAATCCTGGATGCTCCTGACAAAAATCCTTGGTAATCAGAAATATAACTTACAAATAAACTAATTAATAAAATGAACGAAAAACTCTTGATGTCCCATGGCAAGGCGTAATGGGTCATATGTAAAGCAAACGTAATTCAGTGTCCTATTGCTGTCCAACTTTCATGTTTAGTTGCTTTGTAAAAATATACTTCTGTATTTCACAACTTATTCATATGAAAACCAGTTTCTCGTAAATTGCATTTATTTCGGAAACTGATAGTATGTTCCAAATTCCAATTCTAATGAATCTTTAATAATCCCTTGATCTGGTTCTTTTTTATAAGCGAGATAAAGATTATTCCATTGATTAAAATCATTTAAATAATTATTATAAGGTTTAACGTACTTTTTGTAGGAGTCATTTTGTGAATAAATACAAAAATATTCTGTTATTCTTTTTTGTTTAAATATGTCAATAACACCAGGTTCATAATTTAGGCCTACACAAATGAAAACTATATACAAAGAAACTGTTTTACTTCAACTTGATATCATCAAAGGATAACATTCAAGACAGCTTTTTCTCTACGGAAGTATTTAAAATTTCTCTAAGGAACATTATTAAAGTTCTTGGACTTTCAAAAAACAAACACATTTCACGAATTATAAGTCCAATGCACTGGGAAACCTTTAATATATTCAGTTGTGATCACAACTTCTAGGGCCCCTTGTGTGTCGTCTTACGTACATGCGCAATTGCTTTTAGCCTGATTACCTAAAGTTGTTACCAAGTGAACGTGGGTTATGTCAGCTGTGATCCTCAGCGAGAAATGGCGGAATTTTCGCTTAGTGCTCGTATTGACCCTACCAACTGAACTCTCCAGGATACCGCTTCTCTAACCAAAGTAGGTGACTATTAACTAGCTTGCATATTACGAGTAATTTATAGAGCTTAACCAGCACTGATTCTATGATATGTCATGTTCCCGTAGCTAACAGCTGTGTTCTTGCTCAAACTGAAGCTAATCGCAATGGACCAGGTTGAGCAGACTGCTGCAGCTTGCGCGCGTAGCGTGGCCGTTTGAGCGTTCACCATTTGCCGCGTGGTGACGGTTTCTCAATCTCAGATCAAATGATGTGCGCATCTCGTCTTTCGACGCTCGAACTTTATCTCTTCTACGACTGTGGAAAGGTGTTATATTCCAATACATACTTATGCTTGTATAAAAAGAAGGGTGTTCTTCTTGGGTAAATATCAAGTTGGGCACACCAAATATTCTTCTGGCCTTATTAGAATAGCTGTTTTCTGCAGTTACCGTTAACTTTGACGAACGTGCCAACTCTCAATAACCCTTTTAAGAATGAAGGCCTTGGAAAGGTAGAGACATCAGTTTAAATATTTTTTAAAACTCTTAAACTGTAAACCTTTTAGTTCTATGGTTAAAAGCTAATGCTTTAATCGTAGCTGTTTAACCTCCTTAATCTTTCAACATACGACAAAACATCATTCACTCAGGTACAGAAACAGTTCTAGTTATTAATTAAACGATTACTGCTGCTAAAGTGCGATCTGAACGTTAAATAAATCTATCTTCATTTCAGTAAATGCATTTAAATTGTTGACGTATTTGAATGTGAATTTTCGTAACCAGCACCAAGTCTTCAAAATTCGTAATGAAAATATAAAATATTTAGTAATGACGTCATAATTTAATATAGTTGATCTTAATCAAAGTATGTAGTCTGTCTATACCATTTTAAGCTTTGGAAATGTAGTGGACGTTTTTATTATATCTACACTGTAAACAGAACTTAGATTCGTTTTCCATCAAAATCTTCGAGAATTTTTATGCATAAATGGCAATGTTGAAATTCAAAAAAATATTTCACTATTGTTTTCATTTTCTTCAAACTAAATAATTGTATTTGTTACTTGTCTATCTAAGATCGTTCAGAAACGACGATGAACGAAATTTTGCTTAATTAAACAAACGATTACTTTTTTTGGTTCAAGCCAAAAGAAATAAAAAGGACAAGAACATTCCTGACTTTTACAGAAAAAGAAGCTTAAGGTAATTAGCTTAAACTTTAGAGCAATAGCTTTAAAACAGTTTACAATACTCTGAAACGATTACGAAGACATATTCTTAAACATACTTTTGCAAAGCACTGAATCAGAAACGCCTCATTTTAATTTGAGATTCATATATAAATACCTACAATTTGAAACAATCAGTGAAATGCTGGGCCGCCTGTAGTTTTCTTGTTATAAATAAATGTGAGTATATGTATTCATTATTTTCATATGTCCATATACAAACAACGATTATGATTCCGTACCCTCTTTTGGTCTTGTTGAAATTTCATAACCAGTGATGTTGTCTGTTTGAAAAGTTGAATTTCTTTTTTAAGGCTGCTTTATGGATGTTCCTGAAACATCTATACTATCTGAGAAAAATACGTTTATTACAAGTATAATTGTTTAGTTTTATTATAAGTACATTAAAAGCAAGAAACGAATTAATGCCAACTTCCGATCAAAGAAGTTAGGGTATTGATTGTTTGTTTTGTAGTTACACAATGGGCTATCTGTGCTCTGCCCACCACGGGTATCGAAACCCGGTTTTTAGCGTTGTAAGTCCGCAGACATACCGCTGTGCCACTGGGGGGCCAGGGTATTGACAACGGTACGCTGTACAGTGACTCGTTGAACATGAACTTAACTATTACACGATTTATGTGATGTATAATATTATTATTCATGATGCGAGACACGTCATAAAACCTCTCCTACAATTCTTTCATACAAACATACTGTAAATCGCCCACGCATTTATTTATTAACTAATAAAAACCATAGAAGGAAATAAAGATGACATTATCCAAAAGGATTACAAACAGACTCATGTATCATATGACGTTTTCATTCGTTCCAACTAAAATGAAAAATTATTTTATGCAGCTTTAGGAGTTGTTGAACACTCCCATAGTCCAGTAAGGCGAACAACTGAGATTAATGATTTTTTTCTGATTGCCACTTAAACGATTAACTGAGGTTAATTAGCACTTTATTAATGTCTAGTAAGGAACCAACTGAAGTTGACGGACACTTTTCTGATGTCTTTCCAAGCGAACGACTGAGATTACTGAGCACTATGCAGGTGTTCGGTGAAGGGAACACTGATGTGAATGGAGGCTTTTGGGTTGTTTAGTGAGTCGACATTTGACATTAAGAATCACTTTACTAATTTTCAGTGAAGTAAAAAGTTGAGATTAGTGAACGCTTTTTTTTTGTTCATGCATATGGGTAACTCACATGTCTCAATGTTTAACAGTTAGGCTTCATTTCCATGCAACGTGGCACAAATAGTTTGTTCTAAAAAACTTACTCAAGATTACAGGAAGTAAAGTGAGAAAAAGAAAGTACAGTTGATAAAGCAAAGTGTACAGCTTGTCAATGTAATACAGGATTTTATGATTATATATTTTTGAATTTTCACTTTGATCATATATACAAACAGTTAACATATGGAGAAATCTGATGTATATGTTGATTTAGAATATATGAGAAGTCAGAAATAAAATATAGTTCTATTTGTACGTACCTACAAATAAACAAAATGTGAATAAAAATCATATTGTATATAGGCTAGAAGATAAAAATAAGAAACCCTATACCCCAAGAGCTTTCGAAATGTAGACCTTATTGATTTGGGGACAAACCGAGAATATAGGCTGTAAGTTGTTAGACAACAAATGTACAGACAGAACTATCGTTAATCCAGTCATGCAGTAGTACACAAGGACTTACGAAGTATTTTGGTGTGTTAATTTAAGCAATATTTGAGGGCCAATAGAAACAGAGGTTGGTGTTTATAGCTTTAAACTATTGAAGTTCTCAGTGTGAATTAAGTCATCTCAGCATGATGTTCGTAAGAAGAACACGGCCTAAAGAAGTTAGGCGTAGCTTTGAATGCAACTTCATATGATAGTATAAGATAAATGTATGTTTAATGAAGTCGATTAAAAATTTCTAACTTAAAGCAATAGTTTGCAAATAACTGTCTTTTATGTGTAATTTTGATAAACATACGATGTTTCTATTTATTTTTTCATAAGTGCCACTGAGTTATATTATACAGTAGATGTAACAGATTTCTCGCAGTTCATGTCATCGTTTCCAGCATGTAAGGTAGTTTTACTGAGCTGAGCTACATGTACTGAAGCAGTATGTTTAATTATTAAGTCAATGTTTTGTGTATCATCTCATGTTTATTTAAACATTGTGAAGTCTCTTGAGATTCAGAATCTATTAAGAACGAGACAGGGAACTTTTGATTTAAGATTTACTAGCTCGTTTTGTACAATGTAAACTCTGAGCTGCCAATAGCTTTTATCTTTTGATTAAATGTGTTCGTCTCGTTTAAGTCATAGGTATTTTGCTAAAATATCTAGGACGTTTTAACTGGAACAGTACATAACCTAAAAGTAACTGCTTATATCAGTCTAGTAATATTTTCATTTGTTTTCTTTGGGGTTCTTTATGCAGTTACAGCATTGGTGACGCCAGTCTATATGATGTGACAGTGACAAACTGTTCTCGCTGAGTCACACAATCTCACCAGATCTGAATTATATTGATTAAAAACATGTATATTATTTGACAGTTTAAAAATGAACAGAATCCTCTTATCTTTATTTCTGGTGTAAAAGATGCGATATATTATAAAATTAATTAACACTGCTCAGTATAAGGACAAATTTTTACTTTTAATCAAAGTTGAATGACTAATGCATTATATGGTTATGGCGTATTTGGAGATCGTGTTTATGTGGTTATCAGTGCCAAAAATTACCGTTATGACGTCAGATACTCATCGTGTTTTCACTTACACAGCTTAAAATGTATTATACCTCTTTACGACATTTGAATATTTTTTTTTCTAAATATAATATTATTTTATGCTTTTCTTCTTCTGGATCCCTGCCATGACAAGTGTTAATATAAATGACTCAATAATTGATTTCAAATATGTAACAAGTCACCGCAATTAAAAAATACACATACACACACACACACATGTGTACATGTATATTTATATCTTTTTTTAGAGATTGCGTAGTCATCACAAAAATCTGTTTAACAACTTAGGTTTCAACAGGTGAAATGTTTTTTTGGAAGGCAAAGTGCTTATAAATGGAACTTTGTGTTTCAGATGACTTCAGTGTGTGTATCTTTAACTACCTTGTCGTATATGGGAAATAAAATTTCATCACACACACACATTAAAGATCGTAAGTTATATTCAGGAAAGTTTAGACGTGTATACAGTGTTTCAAAGCCATACTCTAGTGCATACCTAGTGCTTTTCTCTCAAACTAGCGTTGGGTTTATATTTCTTTTCTCTACCTTTCAACATACGAGATTGGTGATTTGCATGCATGTCAGTGTGCAGATTCTTGCTACTGTTGTTCGACTGTGCTATCAAACTCTGGCATGCAGATGTACGTTCAAAACACACTTCCAAAGACAAATGGACGCTCACTGCTCAATCCTCGAACATTTCACCAACTCACTGTTAAAGGAAATGTGTTTCTGGATAACTTACGAAAAGTAGAGGATCTGAAAACGGCCATTATAAATATGATTGCAGGGATCAGTTAAAACTATCCAGAACAGATGATACTTGTAGTAGCTTCATTTAGGGATAAGCATAATATGCTGACAGTTTTAAAATTTCTTGCACCGTGTCCAAACTTTCTTGAATAAAAATTGTGGTTCTTAATGTGTTTGGGTGAAATTTAGTTTTCCGATGAAAGGTTTATATAATCATTTGAAATGCTGAGTTTTTTTTATGATATTTCTATATAAGCGTAAACTATGAGATGTCGTTTACGTGTCTTG